ACTCATACAGTAAGTGATTGTTTTGTCAAACTCATACAGTAAGTGATTGTTGTCAAACTGATACAGTAAGTGATTGTTGTCAAACTCATACAGTAACTGACTGTTGTCAAACTCATACAGTAAGTGATTGTTGTCAAACTGATACAGTAAGTGATCATTGTCAAACTCATACAGTAACTGATTGTTGTCAAACTGATACAGTAAGTGATTGTTGTCAAACTGATACAGTAAGTGATCATTGTCAAACTCATACAGTAACTGATTGTTGTCAAACTGATAGTGTAAGTGATTGTTGTCAAACTGATACAGTAAGTGATTGTTGTCAAACTGATACAGTAAGTGATTGCTGTCAAACTGATACAGTAAGTGATTGTTGTCAAACTGATACAGTAAGTGATTGTTGTCAAACTGATACAGTAAGTGATCATTGTCAAACTCATACAGTAAGTGATTGCTGTCAAACTGATACAGTAACTGATTGTTGTCAAACTCATACAGTAAGTGATTGCTGTCAAACACATACAGTAAGTGATTGTTGTCAAACTGATACAGTAAGTGATCATTGTCAAACTCATACAGTAAATGATTGTTGTCAAACTGATACAGTAACTGATTGTTGTCAAACTCATACAGTAAGTGATTGCTGTCAAACTGATACAGTAAGTGATTTTTGTCAAACTGATACAGTAAATGATTGTTGTCAAACTGATACTTTAAGTGATTGTTGTCAAACTGATACAGTAAGTGATCATTGTCAAACTCATACAGTAACTGATTGTTGTCAAACTGATACAGTAAGTGATTGCTGTCAAACTGATACTGTAAGTGATTACTGTCAAACTGATACACAGACATAGACACCGCCCCCTAGCGCTGCCAACACCCTGTAGCGCTGCCACAATCCCCCTAGTGTTGCCACCATCCCCTTAGCCCTGCCACCACCCCCTATTGCTTCTACCATCCGCCTAGCGCAGCCACTGCCTCTAGCTCTGCCACCATCACCCCGAGCTGTGACCATCCCCTAGCACTGCCATAATCCCCCTAGCACCAACCTCTTAGCACTGCCATCTTCCCCCAGCACCAACCTCCTAACACTGCCACCAACCTCCTAGCACTGCCATCATCCCCCTAGCACCAACCTCCTAGCACTGCCACGAACATCCTAGCACTGCCATCATCCCCCTAGCACCAACCTCCTAGCACTGCCACGAACATCCTAGCACTGCCATCCCCCTAGTACCAACCTCCTAGCACTGCCTACATCCCCCTAGTACCAACATCCTAGCACTGCCTACATTTATTTATTTATTTAGGCATTTTTATATAGCGCTTATCATAAAGCTCTAAGCGCTTTACAATTATTAAAACATGTAAACTAAGTAAATACAAATGAGACACTAGGATAGTAACTACTATTCTATATTTATTTAGGCATTTTTATATAGCGCTTATCATAAAGCTCTAAGCGCTTTACAATTATTAAAACATGTAAACTAAGTAAATACAAATGAGACACTAGGATAGTAACTACTATTCTATAGTAACAACCTCCTAGCACTGCCTACATCCCCCTAGCACCAACCTCCTAGCACTGCCTACATCCCCCTAGTACCAACCTCCTAGCACTGCCTACATTCCCCTAGTACCAACCTCCTAGCACTGCCTACACCCCCCTAGCACCAACCTCCTAGCACTGCCACCAACCTCCTAGCACTGCCACCAACTTCCTAGCACTGCCACCAACCTCCTAGCACTGCCTACATCCCCCTAGTACCAACCTCTTAGCACTGCCATCATACCCATATCACCCAACTCCTAGCACTGCCACCAACCTCCTAGCACTGCCACCAACCTCCTGGCGCTGCCACCATCCCCCAGAGCTGCGACCATCTCCTAGCACTGCCATAATTCCAATAGTGCTACCATAGCCCCATAACACTGCCACCTTCCCCCTAACACTGCCACCTTCCCCCTAACACTGCCACCTTCCCCCAGCACTGCCACCTTCCCCCTAACACTGCAACCCACCCCCTTGCACTGCCACTATCCTCCCAGCACCCCTAACACTGCCACCTTCCCCCCAACCCTGCCACCTCCCCCCAGCACTGCCACCTTCCCCCTAACACTGCAACCCACCCCCTTGCACTGCCACTATCCTCCCAGCGCGGCCACTGCCCCCTAGCACTACCACCACCCCCCTAGCGCTACTTGGGGCACATCACATCCATGCATAGGACCTGTGTTAGCAGAGAAAGGTCATGCATGGTATCTGCCTAAATTAAAACTCTACATTAAAACTGTAGCAACTACTGAATCAACTGAATCTTTTATATACTGTTGGATAAGTAATGCAGGAACAGGTTAGGGATGATACTTACTAGTCATACTTGATGGATACAAGGTTAGGGATCATACTTACTAGTCGTAGTTGATGGATACAAGGTTAGGGATCATACTTACTAGTTGAGTAAATAGATATCAGTTTAGGGATCATACTTACTAGTCGTAGTCAATTGATACGAGGTTAGGGATCATACTTACTAGTCTTAGTTGATGGATACAAGGTAAGTGGTGGAGAGTGGCAGCACTAATGGAGGTTGACTGACTTACTCCCCGGGTGGGAGATTAAGGTTTGGAGTTTGTCTCACTGACTCCCTGGGTGGGAGATTAAGGTTTGGAGGTTGTCTGACTGACTCCCCGGGTGGGAGATTAAGGTTTGGAGGTTGTCTGACTGACTCCCCGGCTGGGAGATTAAGGTTTGGAGGTTGTCTGACTGACTCCCCGGCTAGGAGATTACGGTTTGGAGGTTGTCTGACTGACTCCCCGGCTGGGAGATTAAGGTTTGGAGGTTGTCTGACTGACTCCCCGGCTGGGAGATTAAGGTTTGGAGGTTGTCTGACTGACTCCCCGGCTAGGAGATTAAGGTTGTTAATGTATCCATCCCAATCCTAGGACATTCGATTTGCCAGTGTTTTAAAAAAGGACAACACTACTTTTTCCTGTGGTGGCCTAATCAATTGGGTCGAACTGTGGAGGGGGGGGCATCACAGCTGGAGGGAGCTTTTATCATGAATCTTTACCGCCAGATAGTAGGGGCTATCCAGGCTTGAGATGGGATATGCTAGGAAGGGCATTATGAGCTAAATTGTATTCCTAAAGTAGAAAAGGTAAGTCTTAACTGCAACAGTGGATGAATTAGAATATTTCTTGATGGTATCAATTCTTTGGGTTGCAGATGTAATATGGTGTTAGTGATGTATGTTTACATTGTAATTATTAATTCTAATGATGCATTCGCTTTTACACCGCATATTTATTTCACAAACTATTTCAGAAAAACAAAAGTAAATATATGTACCCAACCCAATATATTTTTTTTAAAGAATCTCATTTAGCGCTGCTATCAAGAATTTATATGGTGAAACCAGTGTTATCATATTTCCTTCATCTTCCCCTTAAAAAATGGTGAAAATTTGAAAGAATGTGTTGTCATCTGCAATGACTATATGTGCCAAGTTTCAGCTTAAAAGGTTGACTGGAAGCGGGTCAATTATTTGTCCAAAGATTTTGCCAGCCACAAACAAGAGTGAAGTTAATATAAAATATTGAATAAAAGAGTCGCTTTTGTTTATAGCAAGTTCAGATAAGCCGATTCTACTTAGGATTTATCATACACTCAATTTTATTTAAGAGAAAGGGATTTTTCTATATAAATACAGGAATATTAATTTTCTGAAAAAATGGGGAATAAACTAGTCAGCCTAATAATGCAGCAAGTGTTGGGGAGGAGATGAGAATAAACTATTCAGCCTAATAAAGCTCAAGAACAGAAGCATTATGTTTGATTAAAATTTGTCTTGTTTCCAGTGGGTCTGTGGCCAGCCCTAGGTCAAACTTTGACGAGAGCTGCATAGGAACATGGGTGCATCCTGAGGAAGGCGTGACAGCGGAGATGGAGGCTCAGAGAATACAGAGGTGTGCCAAGCTGGCAAGGTTCATCTACCAGCTGGACTGCATCCTCCGCCAGGCACTGCACCACATTTACACTGCCTCACTGTCGGTAGGATGCTTATTGGTCAAAAAGGTTTCAAATGCCTACATTAGCTTTGTTGTTTTGCTTGACAAACTGACAAGGCAAACAACTTTCACTGGGTTGGAATAAACCTGTCACACAATGAGGCAGCTATTCATGTTTGGAAGAAAATAGCCAACTTGGCATTGGATAAACATTTGCTTGTCCACTCTATCCTGACCCTGAAAGAGAACAAAATAATGTTTGGTGTCTGATAAAGATTTTTTTTAAAGTAAAAAAAAAATTTAACTTGAAACTGACCGATTGGTTATAATTTTTTTTTTTACAGTTGAATGTACAAAACTTTAATCCACAGATTACTGCTGATTACTTGCGCCTTCAGATGGAAACATTCCCTACGGATGATGAGATCAAAGCTCTGGTCAAAGGTTACATTGGTGACCTGGATGTGAAGCACATGGAGACGGGAGATGATGATGATGACCACCATGGTGGGCCAGGGGCCACAGCTGCGAAAGAAGCCAAAAAACCTGCTGGTGGTAAAAAGCATGCGAGTGAAAGTGACAGCAAATCAAAAAGTGGCAAAGGAGCGGCTCCTAAACCCAATGCAAAAGACTCCACCACTGTTGATCCTTCTCCAAATAACTTTGACCAGTTGTCAACGGGGACCGTCTCGCCACCCCTGACAGGGGTGCCGGTGTCCTCGTCCACACCTTTCATAACAACATCAGACAGCCTGGGGTTTGAGAGTTACTCAAACATAGACCATGCTGTTTATTCAAATGTCACTCACGGAGAGCTGGGCGAGGGCTCTGACTCTCTTGACTCCTCCTCCTCCACGCTGTCGGATGAAGTTGATGAGAACACCATGGGCAACAGAGAGAGATCAGCCTTCTACAGTGCTCAGGATTTGTCATTCACGTCAAGCAATGATGTTGATGATCTGAACACCCCTGCTGTGACAGGCATGGTGGTGAGAAGCAGCAGGATGTCTAACGGACAGGCTGCGGAATCTGTGGAGGAGGCCAGCTTGGAGCCGGATGATGTCACCGTCATTGAGAATGATACCAGGCCCACTGGAGCGATGTCCCTGGACAGCCATGTTCCTCTGGTTACCTTAACACAAGCAGGGATTCTCCAAGACAATATTGCATCGGAAGATCTGACCATCACGTCTGATGAGAAAGTAATTTCGGGGGCTTCCCGTGACCTCGACACATACTTTGTAACAAACATCTCCACACCCCAGCTGGTCAGTGACCACGGCACAGTAAAGGCAAGATCAAATCAGATGTCTGCGATGAAGAAGTCTGGACACTACCCTATCCATGAAGCTGACCTCAGATCTGTAATGTTGGATTCTGATTCTAAGCATCCTTCAAAACACCAGTGGGAATTCGAGCCAGAATCACAAAAGTCTGAGAGGGTTGAAGCTGTCACTGATCTGTCAGAGAAAGAGATAACAACAGCATCAAAAGCTGGATCATGTAGAAAGAGGAGCTCAGAAAATGAGAAAACCAACCCAGCTGTTGATGTTGACGATAGGAGCAAATTTAATTTTGAAGATGGGAAAATGCTGTTTGCTAATCTAGAGCAAGCCCCAGATATGATGGGAATCTTTGGCCAGCTTTTTGATCAGGTCGTTGAGTCATCTGTGGACACATCAAGGGACAACCTTGAGAACGTTCTGGACATACCCATTTTAGATGGTGAAATCTGGGAGCCTGAGGAGACTGACCACTACATGAATGTCAGGAGCTCCAGAAGCAGCTCGGTGGATGAAGGAGCATTGCCAGGTTATGCCGGCGGTCCAGAGGCAGGGCAGCATGAAAATGGTCATGTCAACAGCATGGATGGGGCACCGGTGAGTCAAGTTTCATCACACAACATTAGATCCAGATCAAGGTCTCTCTCAAACAGCAGTAAAAGCAACAATCTCCAGGACTCCAGCCAGAACCAGATGGATACAAGCACCGTGTCCAGCACAGTTGATAGAGAGGATGGCATGGAGGACAGTGTGGATAGCCCCAACATGCGGGTCATTTATCCAGTTGTTCTGTACACGCCCCCTTCTCGAGCTATAGCCATGAGTGACAGGGTCAGCACAAACCAAATCGACATCATGGAGTTCCTGTCTCGGGAAATGGATCATCCCTACATGAACAACGAGATGCTGGTAGGCTCACCTAACAGCCCAACACCGGCCGAAGTCGTGGACGACGTGGTGGAGGACGACTACACCGACGCAGAGATACGCATTTCCCGTAACCCTCTCATATTTAACAGCCCCAAGGGTGAAGATCAGCGGTCTGGCCCACAGGGTGCCAGGAAAGATGGTGGCAAGAGAAGGAAGGGGGGCAAAGGTTCAGACTCAAACAACCAACATAATTTACCCTGTTGCCCTTATCAGTTGGAAACTCTGAAGGCCACGGCTCCCACAGGGACTATAGGAGAATCTGAACCAACTCAGATCAGCAGCCACGCCCCAAACATTTTGGAAGTTAAGTACCACACACAGTCCAACTCTTCAAGGACAAGCTCAGGATCATCAACATCTGAAAACTGTCCTGAAGATTTGCAAGAAAATGTACAACACCTGCTCAGAGTTCTGCCCACTGTGCTGCCCTTTCTCTCCCCCATCCACCACAACAGACAGCCCATCACAGAAAAAAAGCCAGATGGTGGTGAGCATGAGGAACTAGTTGTCACATCACCGCCAAACTTCCTTGCCCCCCACTCCCTCCACAACAACAGCGAGACGTCCTTTATTTCCCTGCTGGACAAGATCTCGGAAGAAGCCTTGAAGGATTTTGACAGCGAGGATGTTGAGCAAGACAACGGGAAACCTCAGCTGGTGGTGGAGATATTCACGGGGAGGTCTCAGCAGAAGAGCGATGACACTGAGAACGATCTGACCAACCGAATCTTTGAGACGAGCCTCATTGATCGCGACACCCTGTCAGACGCTTCAGAAGTGGGCGGTGCACGGGAAGAGCACAAGAGCACCCAGCTGGATGGGCCAGAGGAGGAGTCTGACAGCGAATACCGCGAGGAGGAGAGATCAATGCCAGAGCCACCCATGATCCTCCATGAGAAATCAAACAACAACAGAGGCCATGAGCTGAAGCCCATGTTTCACGCGGCTGTCCATCACAACAAGGAGGTGACCGGCATGATGCCTGACATCTATGACTTCACTGCAGCAGCCTTCAATATGATACATGATATGGAGGAGGTGAGATGTGGACCGGTCCATTCATTTCTCATTCTTGTCATGTACTTTTCATTATTCTGTGTCCCCATCATTTAAGCAGTTTCCGATAACTTATTAAATCCAAATAGCATTCCTGAACATTCCATGCCCCAGTCTTTAAATTCTATCTTATAAAGCCGTCCGTAACTCTTTCAATCTACATTCCTGAACATGCCATTGTAACATCCCCAGCATCTCCTTGGCATTGAAATGCTGACATCAAACTGGGCGCTGCTCCCATTCTTGCGGCCCACAGTCCATCCAGGGACACCAGTGGATAAAAAGCCACGGGGTCCAAGTCTTGAACTTGTCCTGAGGAAAGATGTCAATTTAATAAAGTAAGATTATGTCAAATAAATTAAGTAAGATTATATTTAAAATTGGTAAAGTAAGATATCATGTCAATTAATAAGTAATGTAACAATGACATAGTAAGCCATGTGATGAATCATGCTGATTTGCACATACAGAAACAAGGTTCATCATTCACCTCCAAAGGAATCATAACATTTCAAAAAGCTCAAGATTTACTTGTGTATAATTTAATATGCCTTTGTCCCAATGTTGAACAATCCTGTTGAATTAGTGCTGTGAAGTTAAGAAACAATTTTATTCAGCTCCTACTTTGGTGTGCAATCTGGACATTGATTCCATTGGAGGTAACGAGTCACTGACGCATGACTCAACCAAATTAAATAGTTTTTCTGTTTTTAGCTTTAGTTTGGATGCTGAGAATTTCTTGTAGCACTTATGTTAGTAAACTTACAATGCCGAATTGACAGCACTACTGAAAATTGACAATGTATTCCGAGCTAAAGGTAATTCATCATTTGCATGTGATCCAGTGTAAAGAACTCCATCTACTCCTGCATTGACACTGTGTTCCACTGTACTGGTGTGTACCTGGCAGCCCTACAGCAGCTCTACACCAAGTATTTCCTCACCAAACTCAGTGCAGGAAGTGACGCTGGCAACCAGGAGGTCATGTTCTACCAGGAGGCCCTACAGCGCCATGACACACAGGTATGAGGTTAACATTGAAACCAGGGCACAGGGGTATGGTGTTAACATTGAAACCAGGGCACATGAGTATGAGGTTAAATTTGAAACCAGGGCACAGGGGTATGAGGTTAGGGTTAGGGTGCATAGAAACCAGGGCACATGAGTATGAGGTTAAATTTGAAACCAGGGCACAGGGGTATGAGGTTAACATTGAAACCAGGGCACAGGGGTATGAAGTTACATTTGAAACCAGGGCACAGGGGTATAAGGTTAACATTGAAACCAGGGCACATGGGTATGAGGTTAACATTGAAACCAGGGCATAGGGGTATGAAGTTAAATTTGAAATTAGGGCACAGGGGTATGATTTTAAATTTGAAACCAGGACACAAGGGTATGAGGTTAACATTGAAACCAGGGCACAGGGGTATAAGGTTAACATTGAAACCAGGGCACAAGAGTATGATGTTAAAACATTGAAACCAGGGCACAGGGGTATGAGGTTAACATTGACATCAGGTCAGACAGTTTTATTAAGATTTAATTAAATTTCTTTTTGAGGTGTTAATGACTTTCAAGTTGAAAATGTACCTTTGAATAACTATCAGAGTTTGCTTTGGAATAGTGGAAAACTAGTGCTAAAGAATTAATCAATCCAATGAATGGATCAGATATTGGATCATGACCATCCTTCTCAATATTAAAGTCTGGCAGTAATCGGGCAGACATTTGTTTCAGCTTAAAATTGTCGACAGAATTCCTGAGTCCCAGCGTCTGGGCATGTTCCTCATTGACCTTACGCCGTACAAGGACAATGTTCGAGGCTTCACCCTGGACAGGCTGTCCACAGTTCAGGAGCTGCTGAACTCTGATGTGATGCAAAGGACTCGGCAACTCATTCAGGTGATCATTTGTAATAAGAGGAATAAAAATATTCACAAAAAATGTAAAAAAAAACAAGTCCAATAAGTTCAAATGACCACAAACTAAAAATGACCGTTTTTTCCCACCTTTGAATGGCGGTAAATATGGCAGCCGTTATTTATTTCATGTGTATCATCATCCCTTCACAAGGGGGTCATTGTCCATCAGTTCATGTGTATCATCATCCCTTCACAAGGGGGTCATTGTCCATCAGTTTATGTGTATCATCATCCCTTCACAAGGGGGTCATTGTCCATCAGTTTATGTGTATCATCATCCCTTCACAAGGGGGTCATTGTCCATCAGTTTATGTGTATCATCATCCCTTCACAAGGGGGTCATTCTCCATCAGTTTATGTGTATCATCATCCCTTCACAAGGGGGTCATTGTCCATCAGTTTATGTGTATCATCATCCCTTCACAAGGGGGTCATTGTCCATCAGTTTATGTGTATCATCATCCCTTCACAAGGGGGTCATTCTCCATCAGTTTATGTGTATCATCATCCCTTCACAAGGGGGTCATTCTCCATCAGTTTATGTGTATCATCATCCCTTCACAAGGGGGTCATTCTCCATCAGTTTATGTGTATCATCATCCCTTCACAAGGGGGTCATTCTCCATCAGTTTATGTGTATCATCATCCCTTCACAAGGGGGTCATTCTCCATCAGTTTATGTGTATCATCATCCCTTCACAAGGGGGTCATTGTCCATCAGTTTATGTGTATCATCATCCCTTCACAAGGGGGTCATTGTCCATCAGTTTATGTGTATCATCATCCCTTCCCAAGGGGGTCATTCTCCATCAGTTTATGTGTATCATCATCCCTTCACAAGGGGGTCATTCTCCATCAGTTTATGTGTATCATCATCCCTTCACAAGGGTGTCATTGTCCATCAGTTCATGTATATCATCATCCCTTCACAAGGGGGTCATTCTCCATCAGTTTATGTGTATCATCATCCCTTCCCAAGGGGGTCATTCTCCATCAGTTTATGTGTATCATCATCCCTTCCCAAGGGGGTCATTGTCCATCAGTTTATGTGTATCATCATCCCTTCCCAAGGGTGTCATTCTCCATCAGTTTATGTGTATCATCATCCCTTCCCAAGGGGGTCATTGTCCATCAGTTTATGTGTATCATCATCCCTTCACAAGGGGGTCATTCTCCATCAGTTTATGTGTATCATCATCCCTTCACAAGGGGGTCATTCTCCATCAGTTTATGTGTATCATCATCCCTTCACAAGGGGGTCATTGTCCATCAGTTCATGTGTATCATCATCCCTTCACAAGGGGGTCATTCTCCATCAGTTTATGTGTATCATCATCCCTTCCCAAGGGGGTCATTCTCCATCAGTTTATGTGTATCATCATCCCTTCACAAGGGGGTCATTCTCCATCAGTTTATGTGTATCATCATCCCTTCACAAGGGGGTCATTCTCCATCAGTTTATGTGTATCATCATCCCTTCACAAGGGGGTCATTCTCCATCAGTTTATGTGTATCATCATCCCTTCCCAAGGGGGTCATTCTCCATCAGTTTATCTGCGTCCAGTTTGCTTACTTTATTCCTGCCTACTTTTTGTCTTCATATGTTAATTCGTGTTCAGTGTTGCTACATGTCATTGGTGTCTCTACATGTCATAGATGTCACTGAATGTCATCAGTGTCTCTACATGATATCGGTGTATCTACATGTCATTCCCATCTCCCAAGACTCTCCATTTGGGTCCTTTTCCTTGTGATATTGAGTCTCTCATGTCCTTGTCCTAGGAAGCGACTTACTAGTTGTGGTGCCAAGTATTGACTTCACACCACACCCTAGTGTTATTGGGTCTCTCATGTCCTTGTCCTAGGAAGAGACTTACTAGTGTGGTGCCTCGTATTGACATCACACCTCATCCTTGTGTTATTAGGTCTCTCATGTCCTTGTCCTAGGAAGAGACTTACTAGTGTGGTGCCTCGTATTGACATCACACCTCATCCTTGTGTTATTGGGTCTCTCATGTCCTTGTCCTAGGAAGAGACTTACTAGTGTGGTGCCTCGTATTGACATCACACCTCATCCTTGTGTTATTAGGTCTCTCATGTCCTTGTCCTAGGAAGAGACTTACTAGTGTGGTGCCTCGTATTGACATCACACCTCATCCTTGTGTTATTGGGTCTCTCATGTCCTTGTCCTAGGAAGAGACTTACTAGTGTGGTGCCTCGTATTGACATCACACCTCATCCTTGTGTTATTGGGTCTCTCATGTCCTTATCCTAGAAAGAGACTTACTAGTGTGGTGCCTCATATTGACATCACACCTCATCCTTGTGTTATTGGGTCTCTCATGTCCTTGTCCTAGGAAGAGACTTACTAGTTGTGGTGTCACATATTCACATCACACCACATCCCAGTGTTATTGGGTCTCTTATGTCCTTGTCCTAAGAAGAGACTTACTAGTTGTGGTGCCAGGTATTGACATCACACCACATCCCAGTGTTATTGGGTCTCTCATGTCCTTGTCCTAGGAAGAGACTTACTAGTTGTGGTGCCACGTATTAACATCACACCACATCCTAGTGTTATTGGGTCTCTCATGTCCTTGTCCTAAGAAGAGACTTACTAGTTGTGGTGCCACGTATTAACATCACACCACATCCTAGTGTTATTGGGTCTCTTATGTCCTTGTCCTAAGAAGAGACTTACTAGTTGTGGTGCCACGTATTAACATCACACCACATCCCAGTGTTATTGGGTCTCTCATGTCCTTGGAAGAGACTTCCTAGTTGTGGTGCCACGTATTGACATCACGCCACATCCTATTGTTATTGGGTCTCTCATTTCCTTGGAAGAGACTTACTAGTTGTGGTGCCAGGTATTGACATCACACCACTTTCTAGTGTTATTGGGTCTCATGTCGTTGTCCTAAGTAGAGACTTACTAGTTGTGGTGCCACGTATTGACATCACACCACATCCTAGTGTTATTGGGTCTCTTATGTCCTTGTCCTAGGAAGAGACTTCTTAGTTGTGGTGCCAGGTATTGACATCACGCCATATTCCTGTCATCTGTTTTATTAATTTGCTCATGTTCAGTAAATAAATGAAAGGTTGATTATTTTAAAGACGAACACCATATACTTAAGCTGTCCTTGTTTTTCCCCACTATAAGCTCTTCTTATTGACCTCTATTATTTTAAAGACAAACACATATACTTAAGCTGTCCTTATTTTTCCTCAATATAGGCCTCTCTTATTTACCTATACCATTGCATAGTATTTATATTTGAAACCTTGGGCCCCAGTTCTTTTAATTATTATTTTGAAAACTGACTTTGATATTTTTTTAATTTTTTCTTTTAATTATCCCCCCCCCCCCAAACCGTCTTGTGTAACTGTGTCACATCTCTACTGTTCATTAAAGTTTGTTTTTTTAAATCGGTAACACATTTCCACTAATCTCCAGCTTTCCATTAATTTCCACCTTTTCATTAATTTCACTTTTTCATTAATTTCAACCTTCCCATTAATAACAACCTTTCCATTAATTTCACTTTTCCATTAATTTAAACCTTTCCATTAATTACAACCTTCCCATTAATTTCCACCTTCTTATTGATTTCAACCTTCCATTGATTTCCACCTTCCTATTGATTTCCTCCTTCCCATTGATTTCCACCTTCCGATTGATTTCCACTTTCCCATTGATTTCCACCTTCCATTGATTTCCACCTTCCTATTGATTTCCTCCTTCCCATTGATTTCCACCTTCCGATTGATTTCCACTTTCCCATTGATTTCCACCTTCCATTGATTTCCACCTTCCTATTGATTTCCTCCTTCCCATTGATTTCCACCTTCCGATTGATTTCCACTTTCCCATTGATTTCCACCTTCCCATTGATTTTCACCTTCCCATTGATTTCCACCTTCCCATTAATTTCCGCCTTCCCATTGATTTCCACCTTTCCATTAATTTCCACCTTCCTATTGATTTCCACCTTCCCATTGATTTCCACCTTCCCATTAATTTCCACCTTCCCGATTGATTTCCACCTTTCCATTGATTTCCACCTTCCCATTGATTTCCACCTTCCTTTACATGACAGAAACTAGATAACCTGATTACTGTTCTGGAGAGCCATCCTGCTGCTTTAGACGCCCTCTACATACGTCTGACTACAGCAGATTCACTGCCAGACATCTTACGTCTGCTGGAAAATAGAGATGTCAACCAGATTATCTCCCTATACAATATCATTGACAGGTGAGATTAAATCTGAAACAAATGTGGCACATTTTTTTTCTCTGTGTGGGGGGGGGGGGGGGGAGGGTACATTCTATGTTGATCTGTATTGCCATAACAGTCTGTTATATAGCCTAGTGTAGAGTGTGGCTTGGCCTATTTTTCACTTCAATATAGAATTATTTTTAGCCAGCCCACTTGTCACCATTAGTATGGCCTTGATATTGACGTCATGGAATGAATGTGCTCTGTCATTCCAACATCTGCCTTGATTGGGTAAGGTTGTTTATGTTCGAATGCATCCATTTGTTCTAAAGATTGCCCTCAGGCGTCCCATATTTTTGGAATTTCTTTACTTAATCTGATTTGGTCCCTATGTATAGGCCGCAGGCTTCTTTGGCAGATAGACAGATCGAGATTAGATAGACAGTGCGAGGGAAAGATTTTAAAAATATGAGATGTTGTGTGTGTGTGTGTAAATTAATATTTGTATTTTGAGGATTGTACCTTTTTCACTTGCTGTAAGTTGATCTAGTTTTTTTGCTTCTGTAATTGAATTTTTTATTGAAATTTTTTTGTATCATTAACAAGCTCCCAAGTTATGTGTATCTCAAAAAAAAAAGTGACTTAATTGTGATTGAAATGGATTATTTGATAAGTTTATTATTTGTTTGTTGTCAAACATCTTATAAAAACCAAGTTTCTCAATTGTGTGAACTTGGGACAAGAGTATCTATACCGGTTCATCCTTAAATTCAATAATTGCTATACCATTAGCAGTCCTTAGAGTAAGTACCGGTACTATATCAGTGCATTTATGTCCTGTTACTACAAAAAAATTGCATAAACGTATAGGGTCTTTTAAAAAAAAAAATATTTTAAAATTTGTTTTTTAAATGTCCAGGAATTTTGTATTTTCTCCTGGAAAAGTCTTGGAATTTTATTTTAGATTTGGTGCAGGAACCCTGTTTACTGACTGAGCTTTAATTCAGTTGGGTAATGGAGACTAAGTTTGATGTCTGTTGGGGTAATGGAGACTGAGCTTTATGTCTTAAAATGTATTACATTATCATATAAAACCTGACACACCTTCAATTAATGTTTATAAAAAAAAATACAAAATGTCATTACTTATCATAAAAGTGGCTCTTGGCATAAATTAGATGGGTCATATCTAAGTTAACAAAGTCTTTGCATAAATTAGACGGGTCATATCTAAGTTAACAAAGTCTTTGCATAAATTAGACGGGTCATATCTAAGTTAACAAAGTCTTTGCATAAATTAGACGGGTCAATATCTAGTTAACAAAGTCTTTGCATAAATTAGACAGGTCATATCTAAGTTAACAAAGTCCTTGCATAAATTAGACGGGTCATATCTAGTTAACAAAGTCTTTGCATAAATTAGACAGGTCATATCTAAGTTAACAAAGTCCTTGCATAAATTAGACGGGTCATATCTAGTTAACAAAGTCTTTTCATAAATTAGACGGGTCATATCTAAGTTAACAAAGTCTTTGCATAAATTAGACGGGTTATATATCTAGTTAACAAAGTCTTTTCAATAAATTAGACAGGTCATATCTAGTTAACAAAGTCTTGGCATAAATTAAACAGGTCATATCTAAGTTAACAAAGTCTTTGCATAAATTAGACGGGTTATATATCTAGTTAACAGAGTCTTTTCATAAATTAGACAGGTCATATCTAGTTAACAAAGTCTTTGCATAAATTAGATCGGTCATATCTAGTTAACAAAGTCTTTTCATAAATTAGACGGGTCATATCTAGTTAACAAAGTCTTTGCATAAATTAGACAGGTCATATCTAAGTTAACAAAGTCTTTGCATAAATTAGACGGGTTATATATCTAGTTAACAAAGTCTTTTCAATAAATTAGACAGGTCATATCTAGTTAACAAAGTCTTTGCATAAATTAGACGGATTATATATCTAGTTAACAAAGTCTTTTCAATAAATTAGACAGGTCATATCTAGTTAACAACGTCTTTTCATAAATTAGACGGGTCATATCTAGTTAACAAAGTCTTTGCATAAATAAGACGGGTCATATCTAAGTTAACAAAGTCTTTGCATAAATTAGACGGGTTATATATCTAGTTAACAAAGTCTTTTCAATAAATTAGACTGGTCATATCTAGTTAACAAAGTCTTTTCATAAATTAGACGGGTCATATCTAGTTAACAAAGTCTTTGCATAAATTAGACGGGTCATATCTAAGTTAACAAAGTCTTTGCATAAATTAGACGGGTTATATATCTAGTTAACAAAGTCTTTTCAATAAATTAGACAGGTCATATCTAGTTAACAAAGTCTTTGCTTAAATTAGACGGGTCATATCTAAGTTAACAAAGTCTTTGCATAAATTAGACAGGTCATATCTAGTTAAAATCTTAGCATAAATTATACAGGTCATATCCAGATAACAAAGTCTTTGCATACATTATACAGGTCATATCCAGATCAATGTTTCCTCTAAGGTTTGTTGGTTCTTGTGCTAAATCATACAGTTATTTGCAAAGTTTTACAGCATCAATTTTTTTGTGTGCACAATTTTACAGCCCTTAACACAAACACACACTTATATGGAAATTTGCTGAGCATGACTCAAAACTGCTGCGTGGTGTCTGTGAAATAGCTGCATTGCCGCACAGCCGCTCAGCTTAAAAGGAACATTGATCCAGATAACAAAGTCTTTGCATAAATTATAAAGGTCATTGCCAGTTAACAAAGTGTTTGCATAAATTAGACAGGTCATATCTAGTTAACAAAATTTTTGCATAAATTAAACAGGTCATATCTAGTTAACAAAATTTTTGCATAAATTAAACAGGTCATATCTAGTTAACAAAATTTTTGCATAAATTAGGTCATATTCTAGTTAACAAGATAACAAAGTCTTTGCCTAATTATAGATTTTTTTACCTCATGCCTCTAAAATAAAAAATTTCCCCAGGGACTATCTCCGCTTTATCTGTAATTACAATTTATATCTTATAGTAACCTACAGAACACCATAACTATAAATCCTTTAATGCAAACAAGACATACCTTAGGTAATGGACATGAATTTATTTATATTATTATAGCTTTATTTGTAGCTTTTTGCTGCTGGACATATTAATTTGAACGTCTGCCATGAGTTTGTTCAGTCCATTTATTCCCATGAGCAGGTTTGCTGCTGGACATATTAATTTGAATGTCTGCCATGAGTTTGTTCAGTCCATTTATTCCCATGAGCAGGTTTGCTGTTGGACATATTAAGTTGAGTGCCTGGCATGAATTTTGTCATGTCTATTGATTCCCATGAGAAGGTTTGCTGTTGGACATCTTAACTTGATTGTCTGCAACGAGTTTGTTAGGTCCATTTATTCCCATGAGCAGGTTAGCTATTGATATTATTAACTTGAATGTCTGCCATGAGTATGTTGAGTCCATTTATTCCCATGTGGAGGTTCTCTGTTTGACATATTAAGTTGAATGCATTCCATGAGTTTGGTCAGTCAATTTATTACCATGAGCAGGTTTGCTGTTGGACATATTAACTTGAATGTCTTTAATGCAAACAAGACATACCTAATGTAATGGACACAAATTTATTTATATTATTATAGCTTTATTCGTAGCTTTGCTGCTGGACATATTAATTTGAATGTCTGCCATGAGTTTGTTCAGTCCATTTCCCATGAGCAGGTTTGCTGTTGGACATATTAAGTTGAGTGCCTGGCATGAGTTTTGTCATGTCTATTGATTCCCATGAGCAGGTTTGTTCCATGAGTTTGTTCAGTCCATTTATTCCCATGAGTAGGTTTGCTGTTGGTCATATTAAGTTGAGTGCCTGCCAAGAGTTTGTTCAGTCCGTTGATTCCCATGAGCAGGTTTGCTGTTCCACACAATGAAGATGACAGGAGGGCGTTTGAGTCCACTCACTACCTAGTGACCAGTGTCCGCCATGCAGGGAATGTGTGCCTCAGAGAGAGGACCGAAATGGTTGAGGGGATAGAACGCTGCCTGGAGAGGGATGTGGCATGGATTCAGTCGCAGGTAGTGTAAACCAATTATAGCCTGTCTTTGACCTTTTACCTAGCTGTTATGAATATGTCTTAGCATGTCACAGGTAGGAGTTCACCTAATACTTATCAGCTGCGACTATATTAATTGAAAAATGTTCATTGCTTTAAAAAATGTTCTAAAATTACCGTCAATGATGAAAACGACATCTGCTTTTTATTTTTTGCTTTTGTGAAACTACTAACATTAAAATACTTGTCTCCAACTCTGAAGGCTATTTCAATTTTTGAAAAGAAGAAAGACCCATTTAAATTCATTACAGTGGAACCATATTTGATGACACCATCCATCAAACTGTTTACCAGCTTTAATCCTGGGATAAATTTTTATTATTATTTTTACAACATTTGCATTTAAAAAGATGAAATTGATTTAATTTGTGCTTATAGGTTGCTAGCTGATATACCAGAACATTTTACTTGATTTCTTTTATCACGTACAAAAAAATTTAACATAATTTCTTTTATCACATACAAATAATTTAACATAATTTCTTTTATCACATACAAATAATTTAACATAATTTCTTTTATCACATACAAATAATTTAACATAATTTCTTTTATCACATACAAATAATTTGACATAATTTCTTTTATCACATACAAATAATTTAACATAATTTATTCTATCACATACAAATATTTTAACATAATTTCTTTTATCTGAAAGGTAAAAAAAGTGCTGAAACCAATGGCAGAGAACAGTCTGTTTTTGGATGGCAAGGCAGACGTCCTGGAAGTGAAGCAGGCGCTAACAGAGGCCGAAGAACTGGTCAGGTCCTATGTGACCAAAGCTAATTTTGTTAGGGAAATTCAAAGATATTTAGGGGTCAGTTTGTCACAGTGTAAGCCAGTATCCGATTATTTCTAAATGCAAACTTATGTTTTGCCTTGTACTTTTCAGCCTATTCTTATCCAAAAATAAAAGGGCTTAAAAACTTTGGATGGGGGCTTGCTGATCTGTCCTTTGACCGGGTCCATACTAATCTGACCTTAGACAGAGGCCATGCTAACTTGTGCTCGAACAGGGGCCATGCTAATCTTTCATAGGACAGGGGCCTTGTTAATTTGTCCTTGGGCAGGGGCCATGCTTATCTGTCCTTGGGCCGGGCCCATAATAGTCTTTCCTCAGTCAGGGGGGTCATGCTAATCTTTCCTCAGTCAGGGGGACATGCTAATATGTCCTCAGATAGGGGCCATGCTAATCTTTCCTCAGTCAGGGGGCCATGCTAATCTGTCCTCAGACAGGATCCATGCTAATCTGTCCTCAATCAGCAGGCCATGCTAATCTGTCCTCAGTCAGGGGGCCATGCTAATCTTCTCAGTACCGGTAATATTCTTATCTAACAGCGCATGTCACTCCAATCTACAAGAAAGTGGAGCATTAGGAACCTGCCAACTATCATCCGGTATCCCTCACCAGCATTGTATGCAAACTGTTGGAGCACATAATCATAAGCACACTCAATAAGCATCTTGAAAGTCACACTATACTCAATGACTGTCAGCATGGCTTTCGAGTGAATAGATCATGTGAAACCCAGCTCCTTGAATTTGTAGAAGACTTGATGACCAATCTGGAGAACAGCAATCAAACTGACGTGCTGGTGATGGACCGTGTCAATCATAGTTTACTTTTACACAAACTTCAGAGATATGGGATCCAAGGCACTACTAAAACATGGATCTCTAGCTTCCTCAGCAACCGATGCCAGGCAGAAGGGGTGGACGGTACAAGCTCCTCTTTTTTCGATGTTAAATGCCCCAGGGCTCGGTGCTAGGCTCCCGTTTGTCCTTAGCATACATCAATGACCTACCCGGGAAACTGACATCCCAAGCAAGACTGTTCGCAGATGACACAGTGGTGTATAGGACAAGTGACAGACACTGTCAGTCTCTAGAAGTTGTACTCCTCTACACCACCCTTACGAACTACATGGCTATATACTTGAGCCAGTTCCTCCTTAAGGTAGCTCAGTGTTACCATTCAAAGAGAGGTCTGCTGGACAAGCTTATTAGCAATGTGTGCAACCAGGTGAACAAGACACTAGGGTCCTTAACTCATTCCCTCCTGCAATGCTACTTCCGTACTTAATTTATTTGCCTGAGAAAGGGAAGTAACTCCGTCTTGCAGTTGATTTACATTTGTAAAATATTTATTTAAGCTGCTAAATATTATAAATGTTAATGAATTAAGAACAAATGCAACAAAAATTGAATAAGGTTTAATATAAATATAACATTAGCGGGCAAAAAAATAACGAACAATGTGGCTAAAAAATCACATTTCAGCACCTCGGATGAACACATGCTACATATAGATGCGTCATATTAAAGCACACGCAGTTTTAAAGTGAAACAAGATAAAAGCTTCCGGTTTTTAAATTAAAATCACGCTGAACCACGCCATTCCCGGAAGTCTCCAGAGATGCGAGATTTCATTGCTATTTTTAAATAGATATGAGAGAGGTGTGTCGCTATGCGCCGGGACGTATTTGGATGCATCCGGCAAAACCCGTAAAGCACGCTTTTAGTCGCAAACGTCGGGAATGAGTTAAAGCGAAATATAAACATCGGCAACTCCAGTGTGAAAGAAAGAGCCTATAAAGCCTTTGTCTGGCCGCTCTTAGATTAGGCATCTTCAGTCTAGGTCCCACTTACCCAAAAGAGCATCGACTGGTTGGAGGCGGTCCAGGGACAGACAGCATGCTTTGTACTGAACCGCTACAGGAATACCTCTAGTGTTGGCAGCATGCTTGAAACACTGAGCTGGTCACCATTGGAGGAACGTCCACAACAATCCAGGCTCTCCATGATGTACAAGGTAAATAATGGGCTGGTCCACTGCTCCAGCATTAAACAGAAACTCGTCCCTCTCCCCCCCCCCATAGACAGCCACAAGACCATGACAAGCAGTTCCTGCTCATACAAGCAAGAAGCCAGTACAGGAACTGCTCATTCCTGCCAAAGTCAATCAGGGACTGGAATAAGCTTCCAAAAGGAACTGTTCAGCCAAAAACACTTGAAACATTTGCGTCTATTGCCTCAGGCCTTCCAACCTCCAGTTCATGACACCGTCACTGACTAGCCCTTGAAACCAGTGAAATATCCTCTTCAACACCAGGCAAAGAAACATTGTAAATCCCCTCTTCATACATCGGAGCAAGAATGATCAAACAATTTATTGTGGGCCCTTAAAATAGAAGGGAAAAAAAGAAGTTATGCATTGCAGCATATCATATTATAGGAACAACAATAATTTATCACATTAAATTTGACTTGGAAAAATGTTTCAGATATAATTAAAAAACAATTATTTACTCCAAAAAAGTTGAAAAATATTGCTTTCCATGCTGTAGATTACACAAGCAATATTTGCAATTAATTAAATTAATGTATCCCCATCAGTTGCTTTGAAAATATTAATATACATGTGACAACAAAATAAAGCCAATCTCTGAGCTATAGGCTTCCCTGTGGTGACATCATTGCATTTTTAAATCCTTTATATTAACTTCACTTTTTTTTGGGCTGGCAAAATATTTGGACAGCTAATGGACCCACTTTCTTTCAACCTATCAAGCTTAAACTTGGTGTGTAGACTTTGTTGCCGATGACAACACATTCTTTCAAATTTTCAGCCCCAACCCCAAAAATCAGTTTTTCCTATTCTTTGAGGGAAAGAAGAAGGAAATATCATGGCACTGATTTCATGAAATAAAACTCCTGATGACTGCACTAATGAGATTCTTTTTAAAAGAAATGTTCGCAAGTGCGTTCGATACATCATATTTTCTTTTCTATTCTGAAACAGCTGGTGAAATAAATCTGTGGTGTAAAAAGGTTGGGTCTTTAGAATATTAATATAGTTATGAGGCGTGGAAAAAATGTGCATTTGCTAACCTGGTGGGGGGGCACAAATTTGGATTCTTATAAAGTGCCTTACTAGTATGCATTTTTTGTCAAATTTTCAGCCCCACGTAGGAATTTAATTATTTTAATCGTGTTTGATCTACTTTTGAAGAAAAATGTTTGTTCATTACCAGAAACCAGAGAGCCACTTCCGAGAACTGTTTCAGTTGTCCTCACGTTACGTCAACACAAGAAACCTCTGGTTGCTGATGGCAGACTGGGACACAAAGTTAAACCAATGGAAACATGTCAGTGGCCTCTTTACTGTAAACTTTTCATAATTTTCTTTTTCTGCAAAATCATTAATAATTTTAAAGGTTTTAAAAAATAATTAAAAGTTTGATTTTGTGATCCCTGGACATTTTGTTGCATCTTTTTTCAAAACCTTTCTTTCCGTTTGATTTACAGCAAAGTTTTGTGACTCTGGATATCCAGAAGATCAACAACTACACATTCAAATACATGGAGGCCTGCAACAAGCTGGAGAAAGTCCTGCCAAAAAATTCAGTTGTCACTGTTTTTGGAGAAAAGGTACTATTACACTGTCAGTTGATACTGGATGTTACTTGTACAACTGTACAATATGTCACTACAATTATGTGGGTTTGTACAATTATGTAGGTTTGTACAATTATGGGTTTTTTAAATCTTTAATTACAGTTAAGCCAGATGATCATTATTTAATAAGATAAAAGTATCTTTTAGAGACAACACGGTAGTATAAATGGTAGACTCCAATACAATGCCCTCTTTGTTGCAGTCAGTTTCCTGAAACCCAAAGGCCATCTAAGTATTATTTTAGAGCACAGTGAGGGGTGGCTTTGTTATCCCCCTTTATTTAAAACATAAAAAAATGTTCTCTTTGTATTTTCTTTGACTAATAAGAGAGAAACTGAGCTGTCATTTATTTAACACAAAGCTTTTTGGATGGGGAAAAAAAAACTTTCTTTCATGTCTGCTTGAACTTGCACAGTCTCACCTACTTACATGTCAGTTGAACTTGCACAGTCCCATCTAGTTACATGTCATTTGAAGTTGCACAGTCTCACCTAGTTACATGTCAGTTGAACTTGCACAGTCTCACCTAGTTACATGTCAGTTGAACTTGCACAGTCTCACCTATTTACATGTAAGTTGAACTTGCAAAGTCTCACCTAGTTACATGTCAGTTGAACTTGCACATTCTCACTTAGTTACATGTCTGTTGAATTTGCACAGTCTCACCTAGTTACATGTCAGTTGAACTTGCACAGTCTCACCTACTTACATGTCAGTTGAACTTGAACAGTTTCACCTATTTACATGTAAATTGAACTTGCACAGTCTCACCCACTTACATGTCAGTTAAACTTTCATGTCTGCTTGAACTTGCACAGTCTCACATACTTACATGTCAGTTGAACTTGCACAGTCTCACCTAGTTACATGTCAGTTGAACTTGCACAGTCCCATCTAGTTACATGTCATTTGAAGTTGCACAGTCTCACCTAGTTACATGTCAGTTGAACTTGCACAGTCTCACCTAGTTACATGACAGTTGAACTTGCACAGTCTTACCTAGTTACATGTCAGTTGAACTTGCACAGTCTCACCTATTTACATGTGAGTTGGACTTGCAAAGTCTCACCTAGTTACATGTCAGTTGAACTTGCACATTCTCACCTAGTTGCAAGTCAGTTGAACTGCACAATCTCACCTAGTTACACATCAGTTGAACTTTCACAGTCTCACCTAGATACATGTTTGGTTGATTTTGCACAGTGTCACCTTGTTACTTGTCAGGTTGAACTTGCAAAGTCTCACCTTGTTACATGTCAGTTGAACTTGCACAGTCTCACCTAGTGACATGTCAGTTGAACTTGCACAGTATCACCAAGTTACATGTCAGTTGAACTTGCACAGTCTCACTAAGTTACGTATCAGTTTAACTTGCACAGTCTCACCTAGTTACATGTCAGTTGAACTTGCACAGTCTCACCTAGATACATGTTTGGTTGATTTTGCACAGTCTCACCTAGTTACATGTCAGTTTATTTTGCACAGTCTCACCTAGAACGTCTGTTGATTTTGCACAGTCTCACCTAGTTACATGTCCAGACCTGCCAACCCTTGCGATTTTGCCTGAATTATACAGAGTTTTTACCCCTCATTCCGACCTTCCAACAAACTCCTTAAAATTCCGATTTCTCAAACTTTATAATTTTTCATCCGTCATAAAAATTGAAAAGCGAACAAAAAAAATTAAATATCGAATACGACAGGAAGTGTTGCATTTGTTTTTACGTAGTGTCTACAAGTCTGGCGACTGGATGAATAAGTGAATAATTTCTCGAGCTATTCGCCCGGGCACTAGACATTTCACCAAATCACATGACTAGCATAACAAAGTTCCGCAAGATATTATGCGAGAGATATTTGTCCGTCAAATTTGTCATGTGACCGCACATTTTCAATCAGAGTTTACAGTACTTCATTTCAACAGATTCAAGATAGTCTGGACATTTACATGAAAAAGAAATCAATTCTACAAAAGAAATACTAGAAACATTGCTGGTATATATTGCATGATTAAAAAAGGGACAATTTTTTTTATGAAGCGGGACATGCCTGCCGGATGAATATCTGCCGAGCTATTTGTCCGGTCGCATGACGTGTAGACACTGCCTTGTTTTTATTGAAGCGAACCGCGATCTTCAATCATTCTTCAATCATCAATTGATCCGATCGTGATTCATCCTTTTACAAGGCTAAAACATAATTTAGACTTTTTTGTTGTTAGAGCTTTTCTTAATTAAATCGTTACATCTATTGAAAGTGGTGGGTACAATGGTATTAATAAACATAAACATATTTTAACCAAAAAAAACATACAACTGCAGCTGAAAGTAAAAATAATCCATGTCTAATAAATAGTTTTTTGCTAAGGAATCCGATCGTTTTAATGCCAGAGTCAAAGAAATGTTTCCAGACTGGAAGATTGCTAGAAGATTGTGAAGAAAAATTACAATGAAACAAGGGCAAGCATGAAAGTTGATACTCTCTCTAACTTTCACATAAAATCAATTGCAATGCTAACCTTCAGTTGTCCAACCAAAGAGCTGTTGGACAAGTGCAAAAAGAGATATGCTGGAAAACTGAACTCTAAGCAGCCTGTGTACATATGTAAATAAAATGGATATTTTGTTCTGTACTGTATATAAACATTTCCAGAAATGTTTTTCTTATGTTCGGTGGATTCTTCAAAGACAATGGAGGTAACTTTATATTTCTTTATTTACTAAAAAAGAGCTTGTGCATTAGTTTATAGATCTTAAAGCAATGCACCCTCCATGGCGCGACCCATTGAGGGTCAGCGGCCCCCTTCCCCCCTGCATGCAACCCCCATAAAGATTTTTTTTCTTGGCAGGTGTAGGTCTGCATGTCAGTTGAACTTGCACAGTCTCACCAAGTTACATGTCAGGTTAAACTTGCCCAGTCTCACCAAGTTACATGTCAGGTTAAACTTGCACAGTCTCACCAATTAATGTTTTGATATTCTCTACTAGATGGACGTCATGCTCAGGTGGCTCAACTTTATCATCGAGTTTCGCAGTCAGTCCGTCAAAGCCAGGCACTGGAGGCAGATAGAGGAAGTTCTTGGGGTCGAGTTTGGGGATGCACTGCCATTGACACTGGCCAGCCTCATGTCCATCAGGGCCATTGAGAAACAGAAGAACCTGCATGTCATACTGAACAAGGCCAGGGCAGAGTCCAATGTACAGAATGAATATGATGAGGTGAAGGCCTTTTTAAAAAAATTACATGTCAGCATTGGGTTAGTCTGTGACTGACCTGTCACATTCTGGGTAGTCTGTGACTGACCTGTCACATTCTGGGCAGTCTGTGACTGATCTATCTGTTTCTGTGTAGTCTGTGACTGACATATCTGTTTCTGGGTAGTCTGTGATTGACCAATCTGTCTGGGTTTTTTTCTGGTCTTTGGTTGTCATGTCATAATGAATATTTGGTCTAACAAGAATATAGTAGGTACCCTTTTGTGCTTGAGCCACATACAGTGAGCAGCATCTGATTTCTTGAATCTTATTTAATGAAACATTTTAATGATTTCTAGCAGCTGCTGTTTCAAATCTTTTTTTAAAAGCCAAATGTTTACTAGAGACCAACGGAACAGAATCAGACTAAAAAGAGACAAATTAAACATACTACCAAGAAACAGACTACCTAGATGCAGGCTGTTCAGGCACAGACCACCCAGAAACAGACTAACCAGACACAGACTGGTCAGGCACAGAATACGCAGAAACAGACTAACCAGACACAGACTGGTCAGGCACAGAATACGCAGAAACAGACTAACTAGACACAGACTGGTCAGTCACCAACGAACTGGAGTCAGAATAACCAGAGACAGACTAAATATTCACAGACTAACCAGAGACAGACTAACTAGACTAGAAGATCACAGCATCTGATACCCTGAATCTTATTTAATCAGAATGATTTCTACTAGCTGCTGTTTTTTCCTATCTATATTTTCTTTAAAGGTTATCTCTTCACTTGTTTTAACTCACTACACGAAAGTACACATTTGCCTTTTAAATGTTCCATTTTCCTGTTTGTCAACACTGAAAATATTTTGACTGTCCATTTTGCAGGTGTGTCAACACTGTAAATATTTTGACTGTCCATTTTGCAGGTGTGTCAACAATGTACATCACTGACACTAACCGTCCAGTCCAAGCTTAAACCCCTGATTGAAGGGGAGACTCCTGTTACCATCCATCTGCTTGGGGACACTTTTGAGGTGAGTCTATGGAGAAACTTTTGAGGTGAGTCTATGGAGACACTTTTGAGTTGAGTCTATGGAGACACTTTTGAGGTGAGTCTATGGAGACACTTTTGAGGTGAGTCTATGGAGAAAATTTTGAGGTGATTCTATGGAGAAACTTTTGAGGTGAGTCTATGGAGACACTTTTGAGTTGAGTCTATGGAGACACTTTTGAGTTGAGTCTATGGCGGCACTTTTGAGTTGAGTCTATGGAGACACTTTTGAGGTGAGTCTATGGAGAAACTTTTGAGGTGAGTCTATGGAGACACTTTTGAGGTGAGTCTATGGAGACACTTTTGAGTTGAGTCTATGGAGACACTTTTGAGGTGATTCTATGGAGAAACTTTTGAGTTGAGTCTATGGAGACACTTTTGAGGTGAGTCTATGGAGACACTTTTGAGTTCAGTCTATGGAGACACTTTTGAGGTGATTCTATGGAGAAACTTTTGAGGTGAGTCTATGGAGACACTTTTGAGGTGAGTCTATGGCGGCACTTTTGAGGTGAATGTAAGGCGACACTTTTGAGGTGAATGTATGGTGAAACTTTTGAGGTGAATGTATAGCTACAATTTTTAGGTGAGTGTTTAGTGACACTTCCAGGTGAATGTATGGTGATAGATTTGATGTGAATGTATGGTGACACTTTTGAGGTGAGTGTATGGTGACACTTTTGAGGTGAGTGTATGGTGACACTTTTGAGGTGAATGTATGGTGACACTTTTGAGGTGAATGTATGGTGACACCTTTGAGGTGAATGTATGGTGACACTTTTGAGGTGAGCGTATAGCTACAATTTTTAGGTGAGTGTTTAGTGACACTTCCAGGTGAGTGTATAGCTACACAGTCAAGGTGTTTGTATGGCGACACTTGGAAGGTGAGTGTGGAACAAACTTAGAATTGATGACCATGAAAAGAAAAACTAAGTTATGACTAGACCTGTTAGCTATGGCTAGACATGTGGGCTATGGCTAAACCCGTATGCTATGTTTTAACCTGTGGGCTATGTTAGAACTGTGTGGTTTGTTAGACATGTAGTCTATGATTAGACATGTAATCTATAACTAGGCCCTTGGGCTATGTCTAGACATGTGGGCTATTGCTAGACATGTAGGCTATTGTTAGACATTTGACCTATGGTTAGATCAGTGGGCTATTGCTAGACATGTGGGCTATAGTGAGACCTGTGTGCTTTGGTTAGACATGTGGGCTATGGCTAGACCTGGGGGCTTGGGCTAGAAATGTGGGTTATGACTAGACTTTTGGACTATGGTTAGACCTGTGGACTATGGCTAGAAATGTGGGCAATGGCTAGAAATGTGGGCAATGGCTAGATCTTTGGACTATGGTTAGACTTGTGGGCTATGGCTAGACCTGTGGGCTATGGCTAGACCTGTGGGCCTTGGCTAGACCTGTGGGCTATGTCTAGACATGAGGGCTATGGTTAAACTTGTAAACCTTGGCTAGTCCTGTGGGCTATGGCTAGACTCATGGGCTATGGTTAAACATGTGAAATATGGCTAGACATGTGGGCTATGTTAGACCAGCACACAACAGCACTCATCAAGAAAATGACAGAACAAAATTCAACTACTCTAGTTTCCAGGATTAAGATTGCCCCATTGACTATCTTGAGTGATGATTCCAGTGATGTTTAGGAGAAGCAGTCCTTGTCCTTGAAACACTGGAATGTCTTTTTGTGCTGACAACCAACACCCCCCCCCCCACCCATTGATTAAACTAGTCTGTGGAGTATAAAACCGTTTTTGAGAGCTGAAAACTTCTCTGACTAACTTTGGGGTCAACAGGTCTGACTAACTTTGGGGTAATCAGGTCTGACTAACTTTGGTGTAAAAAGGTCTGACTAACTTTGGGGTAAACAGGTCTGAACATATAAAATGCGTTTTGATTTGCAATTTTAACAAAATAAATTTTTCTATGATCGGTTTGATCTCTTTGTATTAGATTGAGGAGTCCCTGAACTACTGTGTTATGGAGCTAGAGAGGATTGATCAGTCACCACACAGCAGCTTCCTTCATGATCCTCTTGAGCAGTTTGTTCAGAGGATCTTTGAGACCTTGGAGAATATTGTCACTTGGGCAGAGATGCAAATGAAAATCAGCAGGGTAGGTGCATTGTGGCAGTGCAGGATCTTGATAGGACCCTAGCACTTTTAGTGCAGGATCTTGATAGGTTCTTAGCACTTCTAGTTACTTTTTTTTCTTCTTCTATATATTAAGGGCCCACGATCAATTTATTGATCATTTTGTCGCCTATGCATGTAGAGGGGATTTGCAAATTTTCTGTGCCTGGTGCTGATGAGGATATTTCAATGGTTACAAGTGTTACTTTGTGAAGGAATCACGCAATGGGGGTTGGAAGGCCTGAGGCAATAGACACAAATGTGTCTAGTGTTGTGGCCTCAACTGTTTCTTTTGAAAGCTTGTTCCAGTCCCTGATTGTCTTTGGCAGGAATGAGCAATTCCTATACTGGCTTCTTGCAGGTATGAGCCGGAATTGCCTGTCATGGCGTCATCGCTGTCTATGGGGAGAGGGACGAGTTTCTGTTTAATACTGGAACAGTGGACCAGCCCATTATTTATTTTGTCCATCATGGAGAGCCTGGATTGTCATCGTTCCTCCAATGGTGACCAGCCTAGTGTTTCCAGCATACTGCCAACACTAGAGTTATTCCTGTATCGGTTCAGGACAAAGCGAGCCGCCCATCGCTGGACCGCCTCCAACCTGTCAATGCTCTTCTGGGTAAATGGGTCCCAGACTGAAGATGCATAATCTAAAATCGGACGGATAAAGGCTTTATATGCTCTTTCTTTTACACAGGAGTTGCCAATCTTTAGATTTCGCCTTAAGAACCCTAGGGTCTTGTTTGCTTGGTGACATACATTGTTAATATGCTCGTCCCAGCGGACCTCTTTTTGAATGGTAACACCCAGGTACTTTACTGAGGAAACTGTCTCATGTATATGCAGTTCGTATTGGTAGTGTAGAGGAGTACAACTTCTAGAGACTGATAATGTCTGGCACTTAGCAGGGTGAAATTCCATATCCCAGCTCATCTCCCACTCAGCTAACCGATTGAGATCTTGTTGTAGCTGGTCCTAGACAGATCTGTTGGCGATCATCCTATACACCGCTGTGTCATCTGCGAACCGTCTTGCTTGGGGATGTCAGTTTCTCAGCTAGGTCATTTATTTATGCTAGGAACAAACAGGGGGCTAACACTGGTCCCAGGGGGATCCCTGACGTCACATTCACAAAGGATGAGCTTGTACCGTCCACCACTACTGCTTAGCATCGGTGGCTGAGGAAGCTAGAGATCCATGTTTTAGTGGTGCCTTGGATCCCATACATCTGGAGTTTGTGTAGAAGCAAACTATGATTGACACAGTCAAATGCCTTTGCGAAGTCCATCACCAGCACGTCAGTTTGCTTGTGGTTCTTCAGATTGGTCATCAAGTCTTCTACAAAATCAAGGATCTGGGTCTCACATGATCTATTGACTCGGAAGCCATGTTGACAGTCATTGAGTATATTTTGGCTTTCAAGATGCTTCATGACTGTGCTTACGATTATGTGCTCCAACAGTTTGCAGACCACGTTGTTGAGAGATATTGGACGATAGTTGGCAGGGTCGGAATGTTCCCCATTCTTGTAGATTGGAGTGACATGCGCTGTTCTCCAGTCTGCTGGAACATTTCTTGTGCACAGTGACGATTGGAAGAGGATTGTCAGGGTAGGAGCGATTTCTTTGGCTACTTCTTTGAGCACTCGTGGTTTGATGTTGTCAGGACCACATGCTTTGTAGGGGTTAATGGTTTTGAGGAGGGCAAGCATACCCTGCTCTGATATCTGTATATCTTCCATGACAGGGTAGGCTCTGTTCATCATTTTGGTCTTCAGATGGAATTCAGCCTCCGAGTACTCTTTACCGTCGCCAAAGGCCGACTGGAACTGCTGATTGAGTACATCAGCTTGTGTTTTTGGGTCAGATGTCCAATGGCCATTCCATCTCAGGGGGGAAACTCCAGCGTTTGAGGACTTTTGGTGCTTCACTTAGCTCCAGAAGCGCTTGTTTTTGATACCTTTGGTCGGCATGTCTTCCTCTGAGAAGATGCCATTCAGGTAGTTTAAAAAAGATCTAGCCAATAAGCGTTGGATGGTTCGGCGGAGCCTCAGTACCTACTCTCTCCATTCAACTGAGCAATTTTTCTTTATTTCTTTGTATTGGTGGTCTCTCCAATGGATCTTGTACAGGATCTTGATAGGTTCTTAGCACTTCTAGTTCCTTCTAGTGCAGGATCTTGATAGGTTCTTAACACATCTAGTTCCTTCTAGTGCAGTTTCTTGGTACCATAAATAGGATCTTGTTAATGTAGGTTTTGGTAGATTGGCTTTTTCTAGTGATGGTTCTTGGTAGTTGAAGTTCTTGATAGAGCAGGTTATCTTTTTTAGTGCATGTTCTTGGTAGTTGAAGTTCTTGATAGAGCAAGTTATCTTTTTTAGTGCAGGTTCTTGGTAGTTGAAGTTCTTGATAGAGCAAGTTATCTTTTTTAGTGCAGGTTCTTGGTAGTTGAAGTTCTTGATAGAGCAGGTTATCTTTTTTACTGCAGGTTCTTGGTAGTTGAAGTTCTTGATAGAGCAAGTTATCTTTTTTAGTGCAGGTTCTTGGTAGTTGAAGTTCTTGATAGAGCAGGTTATCTTTTTTAGTGCAGGTTCTTGGTAGTTGAAGTTCTTGATAGAGCAAGTTATCTTTTTTAGTGCAGGTTCTTGGTAGTTGAAGTTCTTGATAGAGCAGGTTATCTTTTTTAGTGCAGGTTCTTGGTAGTTGAAGTTCTTGATAGAGCAGGTTATCTTTTTTAGTGCAGGTTCTTGGTAGTTGAAGTTCTTGATAGAGCAGGTTATCTTTTTTAGTGCAGGTTCTTGGTAGTTGAAGTTCTTGATAGAGCAAGTTATCTTTTTTAGTGCAGGTTCTTGGTAGTTGAAGTTCTTGATAGAGCAAGTTATCTTTTTTAGTGCAGGTTCTTGGTAGTTAAAGTTCTTGATAGAGCAAGTTATCTTTTTTAGTGCAGGTTCTTGGTAGTTGAAGTTCTTGATAGAGCAGGTTATCTTTTTTAGTGCAGGTTCTTCTTAGTTGAAGTTCTCTGTGTCAAAGGCAGGGCCTTTTTAATTTAGGTTCTTGATAGTGTACATTCTTTGCAGGCATGTGGCCGAGGGGCCTATTTATTCAGATTTGTCATGCACTAAGTCAATGCCTTAGGTGTGTTACTTATGTTTGTCTCAACAATAGAGTTTTAGACATATACTTGTTGAACGTTGAGCCATCACCACTTGCGTAAGCATGTACCTTGACTACTTGGTTGCTTTTTCTTTTCTACAACAGCTGCGACGTCTGGTTATCCGTCACCCAGAGCTGAGCCAAACCCTGCCGGATGATGTGATCAAGTACAAGCAGATCTACATGGATTACTCACACTTCATGGAAACTGTGACCCCAAACCCAAGCGTGCTCCACTGGTGCACGTCTCCTGATCTGCACCAAATCCTGGAGGTCAGTGTGTTGTAGGTGGGGTTGTCAGAGGGTTGTAGGTGGGGTGTCAGAGGGTTGTAGGTGGGGTGTCAGAGGGTTGTAGGTGGGGTTGTCAGAGGGTTGTATGTGGGGTTGTCAGAGGGATGTAGGTGGGGTTGTCAGAAGGTTGAAGGTGGGGTTGTTAGAGGGTTGAAGGTGGGGTTATCAGAGGGTTGCAGGTGGGGTTATCAGAGGGTTGTAAGTGGGGTTGTCAGAGGTTTCAAAGATTACCATTTTGAAAAAACTCAAACGTTAATAAATTTTATTCATATATCTAAGGATTTTTATGATGCTATAATATTATTTATATATTATTATTTATTAGTATATGATTGAGAAATTATTCCAACAGCCGTAACTCAACAGGTAACTGCTTGTAGTAAAATCTGGTGAGATATTTTGTGAGCCATAACTTAAAATGTTGAAATATAAAAAGTAAATTTAATAGCTGGTCAGCCGAATTTGTTAGGGCGCCTTTCTAAATTGTGAATCCCCAATTTGATCCCCAATTTTCAATATAATTATTTCAATGAAAACGTGAGGCAACTTTTCATCTTTTTATATTATTTATCTCCATCACAGGCACAACACAATGATATCATCAACTTGTACAGAGCATTTAAACGTGACATAGAACTTCGTGGAGTTACGGACACGGGTGCCCCTCGCGACCAGCCTCATTTTGGAATTTAACCTTTAAAAAAGTCCTTGACATGCCCGATCGGTATTGAAATTTTACACTTCAAATATTGAAAAACCAATTAAAACAATTGGCTGCCAAAATCTGAGACTTCTAAAGTTTAACTTTGTATGAAACTGAATCTGAACTGAATGTTTTAAGAGTAATTGCATGGGTGTCAACTGAATGCATTATGAGTTATGGGATGAATTATCGTTAAATTAATTTATGAGATTCCTCATTAAAAATTTGTGATTAGCATGGAGGGTGAACAAAAGGAAACATTTTTTTTTGTACCTGCAGCTGGGAACAACCCCCCCCCCCCCCCTTCTATTTTCNTGGGCTATTTTTTAAGAATTATTTGCCCTATAGCTGGGCTATTTTTTAAGAATTATTTGCCCTATAGCTGGGCTATTTTTTAAGAATTATTTGCCCTATAGCTGGGCTATTTTTTAAGAATTATTTGCCCTATAGCTGGGCTATTTTTTAAGAATTATTTGCCCTATAGCTGGGCTATTTTTTAAGAATTATTTGCCCTATAGCTGGGCTATTTTTTAAGAATTATTTGCCCTATAGCTGGGCTATTTTTTAAGAATTATTTGCCCTATAGCTGGGCTATTTTTTAAGAATTATTTGCCCTATAGCTGGGCTATTTTTTAAGAATTATTTGCCCTATAGCTGGGCTATTTTTTAAGAATTATTTGCCCTATAGCTGGGCTATTTTTTAAGAATTATTTGCCCTATAGCTGGGCTATTTTTTAAGAATTATTTGCCCTATAGCTGGGCTATTTTTTAAGAATTATTTGCCCTATAGCTGGGCTATTTTTTAAGAATTATTTGCCCTATAGCTGGGCTATTTTTTAAGAATTATTTGCCCTATAGCTGGGCTATTTTTTAAGAATTATTTGCCCTATAGCTGGGCTATTTTTTAAGAATTATTTGCCCTATAGCTGGGCTATTTTTTAAGAATTATTTGCCCTATAGCTGGGCTATTTTTTAAGAATTATTTGCCCTATAGCTGGGCTATTTTTTAAGAATTATTTGCCCTATAGCTGGGCTATTTTTTAAGAATTATTTGCCCTATAGCTGGGCTATTTTTTAAGAATTATTTGCCCTATAGCTGGGCTATTTTTTAAGAATTATTTGCCCTATAGCTGGGCTATTTTTTAAGAATTATTTGCCCTATAGCTGGGCTATTTTTTAAGAATTATTTGCCCTATAGCTGGGCTATTTTTTAAGAATTATTTGCCCTATAGCTGGGCTATTTTTTAAGAATTATTTGCCCTATAGCTGGGCTATTTTTTAAGAATTATTTGCCCTATAGCTGGGCTATTTTTTAAGAATTATTTGCCCTATAGCTGGGCTATTTTTTAAGAATTATTTGCCCTATAGCTGGGCTATTTTTTAAGAATTATTTGCCCTATAGCTGGGCTATTTTTTAAGAATTATTTGCCCTATAGCTGGGCTATTTTTTAAGAATTATTTGCCCTATAGCTGGGCTATTTTTTAAGAATTATTTGCCCTATAGCTGGGCTATTTTTTAAGAATTATTTGCCCTATAGCTGGGCTATTTTTTAAGAATTATTTGCCCTATAGCTGGGCTATTTTTTAAGAATTATTTGCCCTATAGCTGGGCTATTTTTTAAGAATTATTTGCCCTATAGCTGGGCTATTTTTTAAGAATTATTTGCCCTATAGCTGGGCTATTTTTTAAGAATTATTTGCCCTATAGCTGGGCTATTTTTTAAGAATTATTTGCCCTATAGCTGGGCTATTTTTTAAGAATTATTTGCCCTATAGCTGGGCTATTTTTTAAGAATTATTTGCCCTATAGCTGGGCTATTTTTTAAGAATTATTTGCCCTATAGCTGGGCTATTTTTTAAGAATTATTTGCCCTATAGCTGGGCTATTTTTTAAGAATTATTTGCCCTATAGCTGGGCTATTTTTTAAGAATTATTTGCCCTATAGCTGGGCTATTTTTTAAGAATTATTTGCCCTATAGCTGGGCTATTTTTTAAGAATTATTTGCCCTATAGCTGGGCTATTTTTTAAGAATTATTTGCCATATAGCTGGGCTATTTTTTAAGAATTATTTGCCCTATAGCTGGGCTATTTTTTAAGAATTATTTGCCCTATAGCTGGGCTATTTTTTTAGAATTATTTGCCTTATAGCTGGGCTATTTTTTAAGAATTATTTGCCCTATAGCTGGGCTATTTTCTAAGAATTATTTGCCTTATAGCTGGGCTATTTTTTAAGAATTATTTGCCCTATAGCTGGGCTATTTTCTAAGAATTATTTGCCTTATAGCTGGGCTATTTTTTAAGAATTATTTGCGCAAATGCTTGGTTTTTATTCAGGCACTTTTTTTGCACTGACTGCCAATTATATGTTACAGTGCACAAATGTTATATTTTTTATTGCATCAAAGAACCTTAGAAATTATTAATAAATTTATATTGCTTTCTTTATATTTGCAAAACGACGTAGTAAGACATACATATAGAGATGGGGCCTACATGTATTAACATTCCAAGATTGTTTTTTTTTTTTTAAATTCAAAATTAAGAAGCATGTGCTCGTAAATACTTAGTGATGGTTTTGAAATTAGAGTTAGCGATCTGATCTGTACTTAAAATCAATGAAAAGAAAGTGTCTATTGGTAGTTTACTACTAATAGCTTCTAGAGAGTTATTGGTAGTTTACTACTAATAGCTTCTAGAGAGTTATTGGTAGTTTACTACTAATAGCTTCTAGAGAGTTATTGGTAGTTTACTACTAATAGCTTCTAGAGAGTTATTGGTAGTTTACTACTAATAGCTTCTAGAGAGTTATTGGTAGTTTACTACTAATAGCTTCTAGAGAGTTATTGGTAGTTTACTACTAATAGCTTCTAGAGAGTTATTGGTAGTTTACTACTAATAGCTTCTAGAGAGTTATTGGTAGTTTACTACTAATAGCTTCTAGAGAGTTATTGGTAGTGCAGCCAATCAATAGCTTCTAGAGAGTTATTGGTAGTTCAGCCAATCAATAGCTTCTAGAGAGTTATTGGTAGTGCAGCCAATCAATAGCTTCTAGAGAGTTATTGGTAGTGCAGCCAATCAATAGCTACTAGAGAGTTATTGGTAGTGCAGCCAATCAATAGCTTCTAGAGAGTTATTGGTAGTGCAGCCAATCAATAGCTTCTAGAGAGTTATTGGTAGTGCAGCCAATCAATAGCTTCTAGAGAGTTATTGGTAGTTTAGAGAGTTATTGGTAGTGCAGCCAATCAATAGCTTCTAGAGAGTTATTGGTAGTGCAGCCAATCAATAGCTTCTAGAGAGTTATTGGTAGTTTAGAGAGTTATTGGTAGTGAAGCCAATCAAATCAAAACAAAATCGGAGCTTTCAAAACCTGGTTTCAACGAAGCTTTATATAAAATGAGTAAAACAAAGCTGTGTAGCTGTGTCTCTCTGTGGAGATGTGTGTCCCTGTGTAGATGTGTCTCTCTGTGTAAATGTGTGTCCCTGTGTATATGTGTCCCTGTGTAGATGTGTCTCTATGTGTAGATGTGTGTCCCTGTGTAGATGTGTCTCTCTTTGTAGATGTGTATTTTTATTTAGATGCGTGTCATTACGTAGATTGTGTCATGATGTAGATGTGTCTCTCTGTGTAGATGTGTCTCTCTGTGTAGATGTGAGTCCCTGTGTAGATGTGTCTCTCTGTGTAGATTCATTGCACTTTCGATTTTAGGGTGTTTTCACCCTTTATTGGGGGGGGGGTGTTCCCACCTTATAGCATGACAATTACCTACTTAATTTAAATAATGTAAAATCAAAGTCTTACTTTTCGATATCTCTTTATAGTAAAAGAACATACGTTGTACATACGGTCCCGTACAAAGGTCAAACCCCTTTGATAATGTTTGGTCGATGGGGCGCAGGTCTTGATCCCTGTGTTGAAGCTAAGGTGACACTTCACTCACTAACTAAACCATAGTTTTAAAACATTAACTTTATGTGTACTACTCGCATACAAATACAATAGACCAGTATATATTTGGCTACCCCATTGTGGCTACCTCCCTGCTATGACAGCACACACCGACTAATCAAGAAAGCTAGGAACATAACACAAACTAAACATCCTTCACGTGAAGAACTATTTGAAGAAAGATGTTTTTGTAAAAATAAACACATTTTGGATGATACATCCCACCCTCTTCATCACAAATACTTTGGATTTCCATCAAGGCGAGGACTGAAAGATATAAAAATTATTGTGTTCCCCAATCTGTATGAATTTACCGGCGTGCTCCCTCTGACGTCACAAATCTTCAAGAGAACTAATAGTAAAGAGATATCACTTCCGCCATTTTTGTAGGGTTTGTATAATAATTTGCTGAAGATGTATTATGCAATCAAAAAACATTTCCATTTATTTGGATCAATAAAAGAATCTTCTCTTATCTTATATGCACCAAAAGCTGCAACCGTAGCTACCGTAACATATGTACCTATATGATACTTGCTGATAAGATCACCCCCCCCCGCCCCCCATACACACACAGTTTTTTAACATGTTCAGAATCAAAGATTGTTTTACTTGCACAAGTCACAACGTGATTTAGACAAGCCTTTGTAAAAAGTGTGGCAAATGCTACGCAGGGGAGACAGGTTGTCAACTTTGAGACCGTTTGAGAGAACACCTGTAAAACATTAGTAACCCAGCTCTTTTTTCCTGTTTCGAAACATTTGAACTGGGCACGACAAGGCAGGTCATTATCCGTACCGGCTTTTTAATTTATGTATTCAATTCTGCGTAATTTACATTGTTACAATGCGATTACTTTGTAAAACGTGGACATTGGTTAACAGTAACTGTCCTGGACATGATATGACGTTACAACATCAGCGTAATGGTCGTTTGTCGTGAGCGTCCAGACTTGTCTGATACTTTCGTCTTTTGACCGCGGTGTAAAGTAATTAACTAAGTCCTTTTGACAGGTAATTTATTGAGACTTGGAGATGACACTCACACAATCTCATACATACACACTCACACAAACACCGTCACACACATGGAAGTACAATGACAAAAAGTGACGTAGAGAGATAGTGA